ACGTTCACATGATGTTACACGGATAATACCATTCAATGGACTTCGCATGCTCGCTTTATAATTCACACATACTATATCTGCGGATACCGTTTTTTCAATGGAGAGGTTGCCACGAATATACCAATCCTAAAAAGTACGAATATCCTCAAGAATATTTTTGGAATTTTATAATGACAAAATCTACCCTTTATATTTAAATTTATTGATAAAAATAAGGGTAAATAGGATAATTGGTTATTGATATTAAATAAGTTGAAAAGAGGTAATTTTAAGATATCCAATTCATTCAAATCACTCTCATTAAATCCAACACTTAAGGTATTAATTTGCATTTACCTTCATTTAATCACATATTTAAGGCATTTTTGCTTCTTCTCATCATTAAATTCTATTAATTAAATCCATATATAATAAATTAATAATTCTAATAACATAAAAACTTATACTTTTAAAATCTACTTGAAAAAAAAAATAGTGTTTTCATCTAGGAAGTGGTAAGAAATTAAACCATTTTGGGTCAAATGGGCCAATCCATGTTGCTACAATTAAATCATAAAATTCAAAATTAGATAAAATGAAAAAAATATAAAAAATTGGGAATATTTTTAACATCATATATTTGACATATTAAACAATAATAAGTATGATAAATAAGAAATGTTTTTATTATTTATGGAAATATAATGTAAAATTTAAATAAAACCATTTTCCTATTCAATTTCATTAAATCCTATATTTAAGATATATTTTTTTCTCATCATTAAATTCTACTAATTAAATCTACAACATTAATTTTAATAGTATACAAAATATTTCAAAAAATAATTTGAAAACAATACCATTTTCTTCCCTCCTTGTGGTGGGAAAGCAATTAAACCATTTAGGGTAAAAAAGGTTAATAAATAATACCATAATTAAATAATAAAAATTTAGAATATATAATATAAAAAAATAAAAAAGAATTGGGCATGTCTCTAATATTGTATATTCGTTATACTAAACAAAAATAAGTATGAAATATAAGAAGTAGTTTTATTAATGATCAAAATGGAATACCAAATTTAAAATCAACTTAGAAATTAAATGATTCCATAGTCAAATAATACATTTTTTAAAATAAAAAATACAAATAATCACAAAAATTTAAAAAAAAAGAGAAAATTTGGGAACATATCTAATGTTATATATTTATAAAAAAATAAAATATTAGGTACATCTCTAATATTATAAATTCACTATATTGAACAAGAATAAGAATTATACATAAGAAATAATTTTGTCAATATGGAAATGTAATACAAAATTTAATGTCAACCTAGAAATCAAACTATTTTACTTTTTGGGTGGTGGGTTAGTAGTTTGGGTCAAATGGATTAATCGATGATATGATAGTTAAACAATAAATCTTAAAAAATATAAATAATCAAAAGAATATATATATATATATATATTGTCAAACAAAAATTAGGTGTAATAAGTAAAAAATATTTATAAAATATAGATGAACTATATAATTTAAAACTGATCCGAAAAACAAAGCTATTTTCTTATCTAGATGGTGGGTCAATGATCCAACTTTTCAAAGAAACTCATGATGTCATAATTGAATAATAAATATTTAAAAAAAGATAGAACATAAAAAAATGAAAAAGTATATAATTTTGTTGAAAACATTTGGGAACATTTATAATGTTATATATTCATCATATTAAATAAAAATAATTGTTAAAGTAAAAAATATTTTTATTTATAACAGAAATGGAATACAAAATATAATAATAATAATAATAATAATAATAATAATAATAATAATAATAATAATAATAATAATAATAATAATAATTGTTAATGTAATTTAAATTTTCCATGTGGAATGTGCATGCACATTTACTACATACATTTATGTTTATTTTTAATCAAATTGTTACTTTTGTTAATTTCCAATTTCTATCTTAACTATGTTATATCTAAAATTCAAGTAATTAATATAAAGAAAATTTTCTTACTTATATATATATTAGATAAGATTAGGAAACAAAATCAACAAATAGCAGTTTTGTGTGGTACAACTTGTATAGACTAGAGGCAGAGTATCGAATGATTCAGATCTGACTTTATGATTAGTTGATGACCAGCTAGCTCGTTTCATTTTCTGGTAACTCACTTGTAAAATATTATCCAGGTAAGTTAGTATAGATGTGTTATTTTCTAGATAAGTCTAATTGTATGTTTTTAAATGCTCTTTGATGGGCATTTTCATTTATATAGGTTCCATTTGCTTTTTGTGGTAAGTTATTTATTTGGGTAAATGCATTGTTTTAAAAGGTTGGGAAAAGAGGTATGGCCTCAATGTCAGACCCCATCAGCAATTAGGCCTTGAGTTGTTTGAGGCTTACACCTTTGGGCCTTTGGCCTCAAAATGTCCAAGGCTTAGGCCTCAACTAATCATCATATTAATGTGGAGCATGAATGTTTACATAGGGGAACATAAATTTAAGATAAAAAAAAGCCTTATTTTGTATATATTGGTGTAATGAGCAAATAAATAAACATATAAATAAAAAGAAACTTGCATATAAAATGTGTAAGGTAATAACTTATTTTATTGTTCATGCTTCATTCTTACCCACTTACCCATTTTTATCATACTTGATAATTTATTTCTTCTAAAGCACATGCATCATATAGATGGACACTCTTTGCTAATGTATACTATTGCAAAAAAGGAAATAGGAATGCCTTCTTCTTAAAACAATGTTGGTTCATATCCCTAAATTAAAAAGTTTGATTTCTATGGTTTTTTTCTTTTAGGAAAAACAATATGAAAAAAAACTACCTTGGTAAAATTCTAATCCAAATTGTAATGTTTCTTTGGGGTACCAATACCCCTTTTTACGGCATTTTAAAAAACTCTTTTTAATAATTACGTAATATAATTGTAAAACTAAAAAATAATTGAAAAAAAGGCATACATGGTTCAAAGTGTCGATACTCAATACATCCCTTTCAGCATATTGGGGTGTATGGATACTTTGAACCATGAATTCATGTCCAATATATCATACAAGCCAATCCATATAAGATCCTAATTTTATGTTTTCACGTCTTTATTGTTTATGGATCATATCATTTTCTTTTTTTGCTCAAGGCTGACACCTTAAAACACCTTGAGGTTTACGCCTCACCTCCGCCTTTAGCCTTTTAAAACCTTGGGTAAATGCACTTATCCAAGTAAATATTTCTTAGGTAAATAACTCAATGGCCATTTTAGTCATAAAAAAATATTGGCAACTATCCCCTAGGTAGGAAAGTTATTTACCCACCTGGGAGATGGGTGTAAGTAATAACCTTTCCCTAATCCCCACATATATGAAAAAGGAACATCGAATTCTTGGTCGATGGGATTGTGAATTTATCCACTTCCAGTTTGGTTCGGTTTGGAGAATATCTCATATCAAATAAGTAACTTATGATTTGAGAAAATCTCAAATTAAATCAAATTATTTTAGTATAAAAATCAAATTAGACTTTTAATAAATTTGGATTATTGTAGTGGGCTTAACCCAATTAGAAAGCACAAATAACATGGTACCTACATGAATAATTAATGGAACTTAAATATCAAATTGAAATATCAACAATTGCGACATATTACTATTATATAAATTATATTCACACTTTCTCAAATCAACATATACTATTCCACTATAAAAAATGAAAACCCCTTGCGTGGGTTGATTGTGATGTAGTACCTAAGCTTGAAAATCCCTTGGGTGGGTTGCCTGAGATGACCTGAAACACAACAAAAAATGAAAGGAAAAAAAAAACAGATATGAGATCAAGTATTATTGAGATAATAAAACACTAGAAGCCTAGAACTGAAAAAAATAAATAAATCTATAATAGACCTAAAACAAATCTACAACACAAGAAATTTAACATAAACAAATGTATTTGAGACCAACACCATCAAATCTAATGACAAGTTTGAAATAAATATATAACACATAGCAGATATAGAAAAAACACCAGTTCTAGAAAAAGGCAAATACCGGAAGCTAGATCTGGAGCTTCGGCGTTAAAATAAACGCCTTCAATGGTAGATCATATGTTTTTTTGGATCTATATGACCACAGATGGCTCTAGGCATTGGGAAAATTTCGTGGGGAGCTCATTCAATAAAAATAGGTAAAAATGGTACAGAAACGAACAAAAATCATGAGAGGAACCCAAATATGAGCTTACCTTCGAGAAAGGTTGCCGAAAATGGCGCCAGTGAGTATATGCTTGGACAACAGCTGAGTAGAAGACGACGCTCAACTTGCCTCCTTCGATAAAAGTTTCTCGGTTGTTTCCTTTCTCAATGGGGTCACATTTATTTGGTAAGACCCCACGTCCCAAAAATTGAGAATACAGTTCTCATCACATCTCATTATTTCGCCCAAAACAAACGTGGGAAAATAGAAATCTTTGAAGAATATTCTTATTTTCCCATCCCAGTCGCACAAACCAAATAGACCATAAGGGTACTTCAAGAAAATTTTCTTAAATTTTATTATAATTAGATTTATATCCAAATACTCAAACCCACATATTTTTAATACTTACCCAATGATGGAAATCATTCTCGCCTTGCATAAAGGTAAGCAATTCAACCAATTCATGAAAGATGATGCACAATCCAACCCATATTTATTATGTCAACTCATGAAAGATGAGGCCTAATCCACCCAACCGGCCCACCCCAACCCAAGCAGCAGAGTTGTACTCTTGAGACTCGAGTGTTTAGTCCCTCTCCCCTGTCAGTTATTTCCAATTAAGCCAGCTATCTGGAATTGATAGGAAGGTTCGAGTCTGTGGATGCCTTTGACTCTCAGTCTTTTCTTCTTCTTCTTTTTCCTTTTTTTGCTTTGATATGTTCAGGTGGGCCACTGGATCAATGACGAGTATTGAGCCAGCGGCCAAAGGGCTGTGGCGCTTGGAAGGCCGCAGGCCACCTTTGGGCTTTGTCCTTTGAAAAATCCGTTTTGAAGCGGTAGAACCGTAGAAGACAAGACAGATTGCCTTTCAGTTTTTATTTTAGTCTATGACCAGTCTTTAAGATTAAAATAAGCAATCTTAACTCAACTCTGTATACGTATTCCTGTTTTCTTTCTGTAAAAATCGTATAAAATACGAGAGGAAAGAAAGGGAGAAAAAGCAGCGAGCCAAGTTTCTCTGGATTTCCCCAGAGGAGCCGTTCGGAGTTGTTTGCTGGTGATGGGCGATGATAAATTATCTATTGCAATGGCGAGTAGAGATCGAGAGCTTCTCATACCAGTCGCCGATGCTGTTGACGATGACGCCTCTTCCAAACCTTCTTCGTCATCTGCTGCATCGTCTCATCATTCCGGTAGAGAGGTCAGCTGTTTCTCTCTCTTCCTAGCAATTCCTTCTGTTACTGGATTTGTCTTGCTGATTTGGTGGTGACTCACTGACTCATGCTAGGTTCTTCCCCTTTAGTTTGATTTGTTCTTTTTGGGACCTTATTACTTGATTCGGTTTGTTGTTAGAAACACATTTGCCTTTTTTTTTAGGTTTTTGCTCCTTGTAATGAGACGCGTCTTATTTTTCGATTGGGTTTTCGTAGAAACCTCTGTTTGGTTCCAGAGTTCCGTTGATACCTTATTTATGTTGACCCCCAAATCGATTTTCCTCGTTATCTCCACGATTTGTTTAAGGGTTCCTTGATGATTTATTTTAGCTTTGAAATAGCTTTTTCATCATACTGAATCAATATCTAATCAATGAAAGATTGAAAAGCTCTTTCGCACTAACTGTTCTTTCTTCAAGACCAAACCTTTGGGATTTCCTGCAGAACAATCAATCTTGATGTATCGTTATCTTGAACCATGCACCCAAATTTAGATACATGAGAAGGCATATTAATCTTCAACACCAAATTAGTTTAATGATGTATTGATCTAGTTTTCAGCAATCAAAGGTAACAATATATTTCACTGGCTTTTCTGGATCTCCCTATGGTCTTTCTGATGCAACTACACGTGGTGCTAGACCTTGGCTCTGATAAAAATGATGTAACATAGGACCCTTTAGGGAGGTGGAGTTTACTGTATTTAGGGGTTGGGGAAGGCAGAGGTTCTGCAGAATTTCTCAATAAAGTTCTAGATGCCAGATATAGCAAAAGAAAGGAAAGGCAGGATTCAAATTGGGTTTGCAGGAATCATTTGTAAGAGAGAAAGCATTTGAAGTATATGAAAAATTTTAATACATTAAATTTGTGATTGAGTCATTGAGAGGTATCTGAGCAAGTGACCTTGATGTAACAGTGGTATAAGGTTTACTGAAATCAGACATGTGGTGTGTTGGTAACTGATGATGCATGATCTAACGCTCCCTTCTGGTAGATAGCTTGGACGCTGAACTGAGTAGGTCGCCTAGCTGATCTGCAAAGAAAGAGATCAGAGTGTCCGGGTTGCTTTACCTGGGGTGAGCACTCCGATCCTTAAGTCAACGAAGAGTTTTGAGAGAGCTAAAAAGCGAGAGAACTAGAGAGCTAAATACCTCTTCTGATTGAAGGAGATGCCTTTATAGGCGCAGGTAGTTGTGACCGTAATGCGTCTGAGATCTCCGGGAGGACATGGCCATAGCAGTTTCTTAGTTGGAAATGGAATCCGCGTAGATTAACTCCAAAGCAGGCGGCGTGGGGAGATGGGTCTAACAGTCGAACAATGTGATCCCGTAGGAGTCGGGCATGGTGTTTCACTTTGAAGTGACTGGTTGCCACGTCAGGCAGGTCGCCAACTGGGTCCCAATCAGGTCAGCATGGTCTTAGGGGAGGTCGTCCCTAATGTCGAGGTCCCTAGCTTAGTTGTGATGAGGTCGCCACCTGAGTCTTTGTTAGGTTGGTGGAGGTAGGTCGCCTCTTTTGCTCACCTAGTCTTGTCGAGATCTTACGCCGTCAGGTCGGCGGAGGTAGGTTGTCAGTTGAGTCTCCGTCAGGTCGGCAGAGGTAGGTTGCTAGTTGAGTCTCCGTTACGTCAGCAAAGGCAGGTCGCTACTTGAGTCTTCGTCAGGTTGGCGGAGGTAGGTTGCCTCTTCCGTCGACCTAGTCGTATCGAGATCTTACACCGTTAGGTTGGCGAAGATAGGTCACTAGCTGGGTCTCTGTCAGGTTGGCGGAGGTAGGTCTCCAGCTAGATCTTTGTCAGGTCGGCGGAGGTAGGTCGCCAACTGGGTCTCTATCAAGTTGGCGGAGGTGTAGGTAGGTTGACCACCATGCCATGCAGGTTGCTACTTGGACCTCAGTTTGGTCGGTGAGACCTCGGTGGGAGGTCTCCCTTCGTGTCGAGGTCTCAAGCTCGGTTCTAAGGTGGCCGTCCCGATCTTGGCGAGGTGCTTACAGGTCGTCCATGGCGAGGTGGTGACGAAGCGCCCTCAGGGCGTGCGAGGCGCATCCGACGTGGTTCTAGGTAGGTCTTCGTCATTTTGGCTAAGGCAAGTCATCGCCTACGTGGTGCCGGGGTGTTATGCGACGATTCTGGGATCACCAGATGGTGCGCTGTCACTAGAGGGCCAAATCTGCCCTCATCAGTAACTAAAACAGCAAGAAGTAGGGCTGGATTGTGCTGTATATGCAGATATTTGATTCCAGCAGGTCGAAGAACATAGAAAGAAGTTAGCGAGGAGTCTCAGAAATATGCTGTTGTAACAGGATCGACAAAGAAAATAGGAGGGGAAACTTAACCTGCTTTATATGTTCAAACACAATATTCAGTTTCATCCTTATCTCCATTCAATCACAATAGGAGAGTCTATTGATAGATATACAACCATGGTTGGGCCAAGTCCTACAACTTATTCCTAAAAAATCTAATTGCTTGGTACTTAATACACCAACGTCACTTGTAGATGTCCTACCAATAAAATAGCCATAATAGTCCAAAAACATAAAACATATTGGATTTCCAATATCTTGCTCCCCATGGATGGATAGCTGAACAAAAAGCATTTAGAAATGATTAACCTATAGCTTCAACTTTTTTTAATTCTAAACATTCTAATAAGACTATTAAACTATATTGACCTTTTATTCACTATTAAACCTATTCCTGAACACCAGAAAACTAGAGATGTTTCTCAAAACTCAAATTGACCAAAAATAGGAATCCAGAATTTACAAAATTTCCATTGGTGGAGAGGAACCTGGAGAAATTTGTTTTCTTTGCCTTTTATCCATCTCCTTGTCATAGTGTCATACCTCCATGGAGATGAAAAAGTCATTCCTGTCACCTCCTTGTCACCTCAGAGGTGACAACTTCACCTCTTTTGGTTCATGATCAAGTGCTCCCCTTACTATCAAGACAAGTAAAAAAAGAAAAAAGAGTAAATCTAGATTTAACATGAATAACTATTGACTTATTAATGTACATGCAAACAACCCTATAAATAAAAAGCCAAATGCCTAAGAACGCTCTGTGATCCAATGCTTTAATCAGCAACAAAGATGGGCCAAATGGTATTTTGAGTCAAACACATCCTTTTAGGGGCAAGGAGGTGACAGGATCGCTTATGTTGTACTTGTTGGACAATGTTATTCAGGTTTTGATTTATGGGTTGCTTATGATGTACTTGTTGGAGTAGCATAAATGTGTATCTTATCAAATTAGTGTCCTGCACGCAAAAAAGTGTAAAACTGAGTGATAGATGTTCTTACTTAGTCACAGAGCTATGGTCGTAAATACTCGAGGCATGTAGGTAAGGGTTATGACAATTAAGGAGCTACATTAGGGTCTGTTCTTATACCTATGTTCTTTCACTCAAGAATTTGGAGCTGTTGTCTTTTTGGATCCTTAGGAGGCTAAATGAGATGGTATGTCAATGGCATCTTTTGAAGCTGGGGCCTAGTGACAGGATCCAGTGAAGATTCTTTTCTTTAACCATATGCTGGACCAAGGAAGTCCTGTATCTTTAAAAACATACCAAGTGATAGGATCCATCAAAAAACATACCAAGTAAGAAGTAGGCAATAGAAAAGGGGTAGGTGCCCTGTTAACATTGCCATCTGTTTTGAAATTCTTCAAGAAAGTAAAATTTTATGATTATATATGTGGTTGGAAGGATCCAGTTGGGAACCCAACGTTACCTTTACGTTGTTCTTTGTAATGGAACAAACTTTTTACCCACATTTATTTATTTGATTTTTTAACTTACTGTCTGCTGCCCAGTGCCCATATTTCTGTGTATCTGTACACATCCTCTTATATCCTCACATTTTTTATGCATAATCCTTCAATATGGTTCTCGTTTCTCAAATAGGATACATCTTGTAGAGCACATATTAAATCAAATGGTTTCTCCTTGTTAATATTTCCCTCTTACTGTTGTTGCACTGGGATAGCTTCTACATAGGGGTGTCAATCGACTGGTTTTGGATTGGATCCAATCTGATCCAAACCTTATCAAGTCGGATTTGGATGATCCATTATAATTATTGGATTGGGCCAATTCAAAATAAATTGGTCCATATTCTTATTGGTCTGAATTGGACCTAAACCAAATATCCAATAATCCGATCATGAAACCAAATCCTTGTCCAATTTGAAACCTATCAAAACTGAAGTCGGCATAAAATCATTTTTACGGAAGCACTTTTACGAAAACGCTTTTACAAAAGCACTTTTATAAAAGTAATTTTATGAAAAGTACTTTTATGAAAGCGCTTTCACAAAAATACTTTTACGACAGAACTTTTACGAAAGTATTTTTATGAAAGCACTTTTACAGAAATAGTTTTGTAAAAGTACTTTTATGAAAGCACTTTTATAAAAGTACTTTTACATGAAAGCACTTTTATAAAAGTACTTTTACATGAACACTTTTATGAAATCACTTACAAAAGTACTTTTATGGAAGTACTTTTATAAAAGCACTTTTATGGAAGTATTTTTATGAAAGCACTTTTATAAAAGCACTTTTATGAAAGTACTTTTACAAAAACATTTTTACAAAAGCATTTTTATGAAATCACTTTTATAAAAGCACTTCTAAGAAAGTACTTTTACAAAAACATGTATACGAAAGTACTTTTATAAAAGCACTTATATGGAAGTACTTTTATAAAAGCACTTCTACAAAATTGCTTTTTTGTATTTTTCAGATTTTCTTCATTTTAATATATTTTTGTAATTTTTATATAATTTTTGATATTTCATTCAGTTTGGATTGGATCCAATCCAGTCCATTTACATTTTAATGGATTGGATTGGATTTGGTTTGTATTGGATTTGGACTGGATTGGATTTGGACTGGATTGGGTCCAGTCCATTTGTAAGTGGACTCACATTGGACTGGATTGGGTTGGACCAAATCCAGTTCAATTGACACCTCTACTTCTACATTTAATTTTCATATTTTCTACCAATAATTACATTTTTTTATAATTGAAAGAACTTTATTAATTAGCAATGATAAATAGTACAATGTCTCCAAGGAGAGGCATGAGATGCAACCTCTCCAAGCTAGTTAAGTACAGCTTTCCAATATACTATAACAAGTTACAATGTAGCACAAAAAAGATCCTCCCTGGAAACCCCCTGTTTGGCCAAAGAATCAGCCATAGTATTAGCTGACCTGCTTACCCATTTTACCTCAACTCCCATATTACTAGTTAACCACTTTACTTTTTTGATGAGGTCTTTGTAGCCCCAAATGGTAGCATCCGGGTTTAGAAGCCACCTTGTTACCACCTGAGAGTCCCCTTCAACTAGGAGATGCTCCACCCCAAGTTGGTTAGCGATCTGAATTCCGTGTACTGCAGCTAGTATTTCTGCCCTTGTAGAGTGCCCCACTCCCACCGGTCCTGAGAATAAGGAGATGATGTTGCTGTCCTTATTCCTCAGGACACCCCCTATACCTGAAGGCCCAAGGTTACCTTGGCTGCTTCCATCAAAATTTAAATTGATGACACCTTTTGGACTCGGATCCCATTCTAACAAACTTCTATTATTCTTTGTAGAAGTATTAGCTATTACTAACCAATTCCTCAACAAGTCATCGAAAGAGAAATCAGCAAATATATCCAAGGTTTTCAGCCAATGTATTGCTTTTGTTAGGATACAGTCCTTCACTTCATCTAAGCTTCTTTCCTTCTCTAAGAAGACTCTTGCATTCCTTTCCTTCCAGAGAGTCCATAAGGTGGCTCCAAAAATGAATAATTACATTCTTCATATAGAATACATACATTTTTTAGAATATAAAAACAAAAAATGAAGAAACAACTTCTGCAGACAATTACCTCTGTTTTTTTTGGTTGCTCTTGTTTAACCATTCTCTGCCTACTTCTTGATCATAAATTCATAACTTGCTTCTCTGTCTAAATACCTTAAGGCATTCTTGAATGGGAAAACATTTCCATATGGTGGTGAACCATTTCATAGGGATGACAGTTTGTTCTTTTTGCTTTTCTTAGTGGCATGGCTTACTGCCAAAAAAAAAAAAAAAACAAAACAAAAAAAGTCAATACTTTCTAGTTCTTTTAAATTATCACTGTTTTGTAACTTTGTTCCAGTTGGAGGCACAGAAAACAAAGTTTACACTTTTAAAGAGGCAAAAAATATAACTGAGGTATTACACTCTGAAAAAAAATCACCTATTTTAAGTTGAAATAAATGGGTTTTTTGGTTTATATTAGTCCTTACTTAAGAAGCTCTTATGCTAGAATGTAATATGCTAATTCTAAAGTTCTAATGATTGATCCTCTTCTGCACATCGGTGGAATTTCAGGCACTGTAATATTCACCTTTACATGCTACTTTTTTTTTTTTTCCTGCTTCTACTTAGTTGAATGATTTATGTTTGTCGTTATATAAACTTATTCGCGTATTGTTTCTCAGACCTAGTTTAATAAATTAAACCACATGTGACTGTCAATTTGCAGGCTTTCTACAAAGTCATTCGAAGTTGGGCTTCAAAAAAGTTCATGACTGGATGGTGAGAATATACATACTTATCTTTGGATGCTTGTGCATGTGTTCCTTTTTCCCAGTTGTTGCCTTGTGTTCATATTGGCATGCATTGTTGCTTTAATTGTTGGTTGTGCTTTTTCCTAGATTGGTTCATTTACTTTTCTTATGCCCACCTTTTCTCAGATCAAGGATCGAAATTTCGATATGATACACCCTGTATCGGGCGTATTGTATTGTATCTTTTGGGTTTCAACCCCTCTTTTTTAATAAAAAATATATAAAAAACTATATAAAAATCAATTTTTGAAAAAAAAACTAAAAAAAAATGCGCAAGGTTTTTTAGTACCAATACACCTCTGCTGATACACAGAGGTGTATCAATTCTTTGAACCTTGTCTCAGATCCATTTATGTGAATCCATTAACTGAAACTGTAGAGTGTTGATGGAACTACCCTAGTTGGGAAAAGTCTTAGATGATTGATGGGATTAACTGATGGGGAACCTCTCTTCTTTTTTTAGAAGATGGCATTCCTTTTGCCTATCATCCCTTTTTGGGAAGGTTGAGCGGGGCCTGTAAGTTTATATGGTTCTAGGTATTTCTTTATGAGCTATAAATAGTTTTAAGTTCTAGGTTCAAGAAATGAACATGGGTAGTCCGTAGTCAGTAGATGTCCTTTCTTTGGAAATATATGTTGGTAATTTCTGATTCCTTGTTCTTCTTGTCAAAATTGAGTGTTGTAGAGGCTTTTGGCTGAGAGCCTGAGAGAGGCATTGCTCTGTGTTTTAAAAATGTACAAGGTTTGTACCTTGAGGCACATGCCTGCAAGTATAACAGTTAGATTCTTTTCGAACTCCTCGTATTCTTATGATTCTAGTTCATGTGATCTATTCATGTATATACTTTTCCTATATAAAAATATGCTCCTTAAGCATGTTTCTACACATTATGCATCTAAAGGTCTTGTTTCTTCGTTCCATGTCCAACATTTTTAAACATTGATTGCTACCTTCAACATGCTTCTAGATGTTTCCTCTGGATTGATATGACGTTGACTAAGTTGTTAATTCTGCCACAACAGGATCATTGTAGGATGGGGAATGCCAAGTGGCAGTAGGTTCCTTTCAAGGGTGGATGACCCTTGGTCATCAAGATTCATGATTAGGAAGTTGGTGGTTTGGTGTCCAATCTGAATTTCTCGCTCTGGTGGATTCTAAGGCCAACAAACTATTTGGCCAGAAGTTTATCAGGAATAGGTGTGAGCAAAAAATGCCTTAGAATGTGGAATGCCAGGCCCAGGGATAAGTCTAACATTTTAGTATTTTTAGTTCTGCTACCAGTCATGTCAACCGTTGGCTAATTCCATACTTAATGTCTCTATCTGTCTGAAGTCTTATGGAGAGTAGAATTTTATTTCTGGTTTCTGATTAACAAAGTTTATTCTTGTCACTGTTGTTGGGAGAGTTATGTTTGTTTCCTTATAAATATAATACTTTACCTTTTTAAAAAAAAGTTAGTTCTTGTAATTATTGTCACTGATAAAAAAGGTTGTTAATGATGCAAGTAGAGAACTTTCAACATATTTTAGGAAGTTAGTAATTTATTTATCGTTTGGACTCTGTTGATTCCTGGGACTTCCTCCATAAATGTGCATGGTAAAATTGCTGAGATTCATGTAAAAATCTAATTGAGGAACAAAATATAAACCTTTTGTTGTGGTTGTTAATGTGAACTGTGAAGTATATACGAGTGTACTTTGTGATGTTTTCGAAATTTGTATGGCCCTTATTTCACTAAATAATGTGGTTGCCTGAGAAGATCCAACAAAAAAAATCACAATTTATTGATTTTATTCAACGGTTCCCATTAATGTTGGTTTTTGATATGCAGTGTTATTCTATTTCCTATAGCAATCACATTCTATATCACGTGGTGGTTTATACATTTTGTGGATGGCTTTTTCTCTCCAATATACGCTCAACTTGGAATCAACATATTCGGTATGCATATGCTTTCCAATATTACCTATGTATTGTGTTTTTTTTATTTTTTTATTTTTTTTTTTATTTTTTTTGTGGTGTAGGCTGGGAATTAAGAATATCCAAAGTTCCCTTTTCCTAGGTTGATAGGTTTACATTTGAGTTGCATCATTTTGATAATTTAGAACAGGTGGAGATATCTAGCTAAAGGTCATCTGTACTACAATACTTAGAGTTAGAACCTTAATATTATAATATGAAAGTTAACAATAATGTTATAAAACTGTTGACTGCACTATACAGTGTTGAGTTTTTCTTGAGATTTTGTTGATTGTTCCCCAACCTCTCCTAGTAAACAATTTTGTTGTTATTCTTTTCTTTGATTGTTGAATTGACTTGTTTAATGCAATTAGGTCTTGGGTTTGTAACTTCTATAACTTTCATATTCTTGGTTGGGGTTTTCATGTCATCTTGGTTGGGAGCATCTGTTCTAAGCCTTGGAGAGTGGTTTATCAAACGGATGCCTTTTGTTCGACATATCTACAATGCATCCAAGCAAATCAGTGCTGCCATATCACCTGGTAATCATTTTAATTCTTTTTCCTGTCCACTTAAATTACTTCAGGCAGGCATTACTAAGGTGCTTTTATTTATTGATACAGATCAGAACTCACAGGCCTTTAAGGAAGTAGCCATCATTAGACATCCACGTGTTGGAGAATATGCATTTGGGTTTATCACATCTGCTGTCGTTCTTCAAGTATGAACTTATTTCTTTTTCATTTGTTTTGAGTATCTGCTTTTTCAAGTTCTAAATCATACCTTTTTATTTTTTGGTCATATTAAGGACGGAGCAAGTCATTTTCTACTGACTAGAAATGATCCCAGATTGGGTGTTATTAGTTTTCCTGCGTAGTAGTAGATTATTATAGAACCTGAAGTTCTACATCCTCCCTCTCTTATCCTGTGCATGTAGTTAATTATGATTGCAGCTTATTGATTTGCATTTGTATACATGGTCTTTTAGACACTAATCTTGGAATGTGCAATATTTGCCCCTGTGAATCTATTCAATATGAATAATAATCCATGATTTCTTTTTGGACTACCATCATTAAATGGTAAATGACTGGCTGCGAATAGTTGGGGTTAAAGTTGACTTGAGTATTGTTAAATGCCAAAATTTTGATGATGTATATATCCAGCATTATTCGGGAGAAGAGGAGCTGTGCTGTGTGTATGTCCCTACAAATCATCTTTATATCGGTGATATATTCCTCATCAACTCCAAAGATGTCATTAGGCCAAACCTGTCCGTGCGTGAAGGAATTGGTAAGTATCACATGTTTTCTTGCTTGTTTCAGTGTACATGCATCAGGACTGGAGGATGTGAAGAAGTTCCCAACTTGTCTTTGTCATTCACATGGTTCACCTGGGAAACAGTTGAACCGTCAATCTTGTGATAACCATTTGATTTTAGAGTCTTTTTGGAATAAGTTGGTATATGATGGTAAAATCATGGGACAATTGCTTGGTGTAATGGTGAAATATTGGGCTGACAAGTGTGAGAACTCAGGTTGAGTCTGGGAACAATCCAGTCCACCACTCCCCAAGACCCCAGATAGCTGGGACCAACATTGGGTAATGGCCTATTTATATATTTTGATCAGAGGGGAGGGTATAAAAGATGTACTCAGATCAGAATTAATCTTTGATGTGATGATTTGCACCCTCTGTGTCCATCCGTATATATCTAGACCCAGAAGGATTGCTCCTTGTTTATAATCTTCATACCCATCTAGATTTTGTTGCTTTTGTTTACACTATGAATTATTTAAGTTTAGTTTGTGTTATAAGTTATAAAATGGGGTTTGTATCAGAACTTGATGTATTCCAAATGTGATATGAATGCAGAGATCGTTGTTTCTGGAGGCATGTCAATGCCTCAGATCCTGTCAACCGTGGATTCACGGATAATCCAGGTGGACAGAAGTAGATCAGTGCGCAGCTGAGAACAAAACAACAAAAGAAGTGATAGGAAAGAGTTGACAGATTTTTGAAGATTCCAGTTTGAGGTGTGCTATCAGAAGTTGAGAACACGACCGACCACGTCATCTACATGTGTTAGACTGGAGGGTGAGGAGGGAATTTGGATGATGGATGGGTTGTTTGTTTGGCCTGGTCGGAATTGAATTCTGATAACATATGTGTAACATTTCTTTTACGGGGGAGTTGGCGATGAATCCCATGTACATTGTAGATGAAGTTTGATTGATAAAATACATGTTGTTGCTGTGGATAATTAGGCTTTTGGACACTTTTTTGTATTTATTTATCATTGGTGGTGTATGCTCCTCATCAGTCTCACATCTCCTTCTTCTTCCATCTTTGATTTTCTGTATCATTTGGATTGTTTTGTCACTATTTGTTCGTTCTTGTTACGCATTCATTCATGCATCGGCACTTGTATTACTGAAACACAAATCCACGCAGCAGTAGCACTGCACACGACCTTCATCTTTGTATCTCCTGCTACTTTCACAATGTTCCATGTGTTGCGATTCTTTTTGTCAGCAGCATTATTATTATAATTAAATATGAAGAGGCAATATGTTATAGGGGCGAGGCATGGCAGGAGATGATGGGACCAAGTATCAGTCGGTGTCGGTCGATTTGACGTTTTGAGCCAGAAAAGAATCTCTTTCTTTCTCGGCATTAGGCGGGACCCATTTATTTTTGTTTTGTATTAACCAATCCTTTATTCAATAATTTTAGAGTCCGTTTGGTTCACAATTGGTATTGACGTCAAAATCAAAATCCAATCACGAATAGTCTATTCCTCCCAACATGTTTGGTTCAGACTGGGAATCGGAATCGAAATCAGCTAGAAACTTAGACTCAATTCTCATTCTAAGGCGGACAGGGAGGAATTCCTGGGATTGGGATTTTGATTCCAGCCAACCAAACGGTTGAAATTTGAAATTTAGACTCTCTCAGCTGGCGTGTGGAACCCACACTTATGTTGCTGACGTGCCATATCGTGATTGGCAGCACTAAACATAATCCCTAGCCCTCTCGATTCTCCTATCTTCTCTCTCTCTCCGTCACTCTCGTCTCTCGTCTTGTGTATTGTGACTTAATTCTTAAAAGTTAAAAATTCTTCCTTTCCTTTTCCTCCTGTGTATCCGTACTTCTCCATTCTTTCTTTCTTTTGTTTTTTTAATTTTATTTATAATTACATGGACTTATTGCAAATAACAGTAAGTCCATTCCATCCATTGCAAATAACAATAAGTCCATTCCGTTCTTTCAATTTTCAACGTGCAGATCCTTACTTTTTACCAAAAAAAAAAAAATGCAAATTATTGCAAATAACAATCTTGAAGAGGGCCCCCCAATCGTAGTTGTTACTTGTTAGGTTAGCTCAGAAATTTTAGAAATCCGACAAATCTGCCTTCCATTCCATCCATTTCTTTAACAGAAGAAACAACTTCTGAACACTCTACTGCACACACTACATTCCTATTGTTTATCCCCCCAGGCCCAGCCCACACAGAGAGAAAATATTACCGCATTTGGATTTTGAGCTCCCTACTCAGTCGCCACGTGGACACTGTGGGCATCTCCAACTCTACACGTTGCACCCCCAGGTGTTTTTACGTTCTACTCCTCCAACTAACCACCATCAATGGGCCAGTGATTCATTACTCGTATTTCATTGGCCCATTATAGACAATATACTCAATGGGCCCCGCCGTTTATCGATTTTATTCTACTATTGCCGGTCCAATTTTTATTCCCTTTTTTAAATTTACCTTCTGATCAGAACCACCATGGCTGTGATTGATCCGACGGTTGAGAGAGATCGGCTGGTGCTGGAGAGTGGGGTAATAGTTTTGGCGGGGAACACGTGTCTGTTTGTCACGACCGCTGCCTGTAGCTTTGATCCAACGGGCAAACCGGCAGTTAATAGAAAACAAAACGTGTTAATGATTAATGAATTCGAGACCGAATCAGCCCCCCACAAGACTGCCCCCTACAACATCCCCACCGTGTATTGAGAACATCTCCCGATGATGATATCATCATTTTTAGTTATCATCGGGAGATATTCTCAATAGATGATGGGGATGTGGTGTGGGACGTTGTTTGGGGCATTCTTGTGAGGGGCTGATTAGGAGGATTAGGTAAGCATAAAGTAGAGTAGAGTAGAGTACGCGCGCAAGCATTGGCTGCCGACACTTGTTTCGGAAAAATCGGAATAACTGATTAGTTTGGGTCTCAGGCTCGGGCCCGAGCCTGATACCGAACCTACGCTTGTTGCTTTCTATACATATCACCTTCGTCCAGCTGCCTTTACTCTGTTCTGAAGATACGAAACCCACTCCCTCCGTTTCCATCACCATGCATACTAGAGAGAGAAAGACAAGACAGCAGTCAGAGTGGTTCAGATCTGAACAACATCTAGAAATTCCAACTCGGGGCAGAATTCATTGAAACACTTCTGGTGAAGGTTTCGAGAACCGATTCGAGATTTCGAGCTTATCTTTTTTCTCGGTTTCAGTGGTTTACAGAGACACTCTAATTGTTTGCCGTACCTCCGTATCCGTGCTTTGAGTGAAGTCTACTGGAAACTTTATTTCGAGTGCCTTCTTGTTGGCGGAATTGCCGTGCCGAGCCGAGCCGAGCCTTGTGGAGACATTCTTCTCTTCTCTTTCCAGGTGAGAAATTAAGAAAACTTGAGTTGAAGCCCAAAAAAAAATCTCGTTTTTTAGCTTTCTGTTTGTGAATTATGAGATTTAGGTTAGGACTCTGAAAATAAATAGTCGAGTATTTCTTGGGAGCTTGCAGAGTGTGGACGCTTTAGTTCTCTTTCTACGACTTGGATTTGGCTTTGACAAATAGTCGAGTAATTCTCATTTTTATTTCCCTTGTTGGTTTCTTTTCTCCCATACACGGTTTCAATCTGTCGAAGCTCACTTTCGGTTGATTTATGCGATCCTCTGTTTTATCATTTCTGAACACTCCAACAAACGGAAATTCTTTCTTTCTCATAGAGGATTTTCTTCTCCTTTTAGATTTGTGGAATAATCATCAATTTGCCTTTTATTGTGAAGCAGACAACAGAGGAGCTACCTGCAGGAGTTATTCTTGCATCGATGAGTTGAGCAATTCAACAATTCGAAATTAAATCTGAGTCATTTTTGTCGAATTCAACAATAAATCTTCAAAGATGATGCACGCAAAGTCTGACTCCGATGTTACGAGTTTGGCTCCTTCGTCGCCTTCACGGTCTCCGAAAAGGCCTGTTTACTACGTGCAGAGCCCCTCCCGGGACTCTCATGATGGCGACAAGTCCTCTTCCATGCAAGCGACCCCCATCTACAACAGTCCGATGGAGTCGCCTTCTCACCCGTCGTTTGGGCGTCACTCTAGGGCTTCTTCCTCAAGTCGGTTCTCGGGAACATTTAGATCTTCCTCGGGGCGGAAGGCAAACCGGAAAAGGAACGATAAGGGATGGCCCGAGTGTAATGTCATTCAGGAAGAGGGGTCTTATGATGATCTTGATGGTGAAAAGGGTCTCTCTCGTCGTTGCCAGGCCTTGATTGCTCTTTTGGGTTTTGTTCTGCTCTTCACCGTCTTTTCCCTCATTATCTGGGGTGCTAGTCGGCCTTACAGAGCAAAGATAGTTGTGAAGGTATGAAAATTTGCCTTAATGATTTACGACTGCGTTTGTTTACTTTAGTAGTGACAAAAATATTTCATTATGAAAGTAATTGGCATTTTCTAGCTAAATTGTCATTATCTGCAATTCTGCATTAGCTTCTCTATGAAAAAAAAATTGAGTCTGTGAAATGATATCACATCCTGATTGTTTATTAGAGTTAAATCGGTGATCTTAAGTTGAGAAAATCAACAAATGATAACCAACCCAAGAGAGAAAATAGTGCTGAAAACCGGAATTTCGTTTCAATCGCGTCTTCCCAACGTTCCGTTGACGGTGGACTTGCTTTTGTCTTTTGTTTTTCTAGGTACTCTTTGGCTTTCGTTCTTAGAGATAAACGGACAAAGGAATTTACTAGGAGTGATGGTGGGCTATTTGTTATATTCGTTTGCTTCAAACCTATATGAAATTTTCATCTTTATTATGCTTTATAGTCGGATTTGTTCTGTAAATTGGCTTCTCCATTTTTAGCTTCATTTTATCCTTTGAACAACAAACGAGGGTTACTTTGAATAATTGGGAACTGGGTACTTTTTTTTCTCTTATAATCTGCAATTGTGACACGATGCTCATCCATGGAGTTATTAGATGCCACATCTACGTTCGTCTGACTGGTTTTGCTATTTCCCTATCATTTATCTCTCTCTCTCTCTCTCTCTCTATATATATATATTAATTTTAAAACAGTTTGACTCAGCTTTGTTCAAATACATGGACCTGCATCAGTGAATTTCAGCTTTGCCTTGCCTTGTAAAGTAGTAGTAGTGTTTTTTTTGGAGGGGGGGGGGGGTAAAACCAATTGGAAGTGGCCTAAGTGATCAGTCGCTTTGTTACCTTCTCCATGAATATGGCTTAGCCCATTCAGGACCTTGTAACTAAATGAAGGGAATTGTGGATAAGCTGGACATGAGATATTGTTGAAGTTTGTTACCCTTCAAAGCCTCAATCACTACTTTGCTGTTGCCTTTGGATATGAATTTTCTGGAATCCATTGTCAGTTGCACATTTTAGTGCAATAAAGATGGCATTTTACCATATGACATCCTTGAGCTCTATTTTTTGGGGCCAGTGAAAATCCCAGTTCAACTTATCTATTGTTGCAAAGTGATTTGTGGAATTGGACACGCCCCCATCGAGTATTGTTGGATTTCTGATGTGATTTTACCTGTAAGGGATGGTAAATGGCTTTTCCATTACTCTAACTACAGTTTTATTCTGCTTATTAAAGCTTTGAGGACAACATTGAGTATCTTCCCCTTGGATAGAGGGCCCTAAATAAAGGGAGATAGTCTTGATTTGTAGCACCCCCAAGCATTCGCTTTGAAATCTTTTACTTTGTAATTGATGTAGGGAAAAGTAATTTCTGGTTCCATAAAATTTATTTTTGTCAAGATGGCTCCCTGTCTTCAAATCCTGCATTGATTCTCACAGGGTTGGGAAGATGTATTTGTTTCTGTAAATTAACTATTAATCTATTATTTTCCTTTCTGTTCTCCTCTATACGATAGCTCTGTTCTTACAGTTGCATATCTTTCTATGTTTATTCCATTAACAAGACTTCTCACATCACAGAGCATGGCAGTAAACAATTTCTATTCTGGCGAGGGATCTGACTCCACTGGTGTCCCAACCAAGATGCTGACACTGAACTGTTCATTGAGGATGAGCGTATACAACCCAGCCAACTTGTTTGGTATTCATGTTAGCTCTACACCTGTCAATCTCATCTTTTCGGAAATTGCAGTTGCAACTGGCCAGGTAAGAAATTTATTCACCTTAGTTTGTAGTTGATAAATGTGTTGAAATAATGTAACAATATTGATAGAATTCAAAGGTTGAATTGAACTGGTCGCCCTCAATTCTGCAATTCTCAAGATTACACTGTTGGTGGCATGGAATTTGATAATTTGAGAAACAATAGGCAACAGATTTTCTACCGGAAAAATAACCAACAAATTTTCTTTCGTAGCCTTTTAAGAAAACGGATTGCATGTTTTTGTGGGTATCCATATTCCTCTGGTTAGTTCATTTCAAATCTGTGAGATTGCCGTGGGAATGGAATTCAATTCCAATTCCACTTGGTTATTCTTTCAGAGTTTTAATGGAGAAAACTAAGAACCCACATGGAAATCGAAAAAGGTGATGGATTGAGAAGGCTAGAGTTAGAGAACTGTGCAAATATGGACTAGCCCTTGATTGAACCTAGAGACTGTTACTGTTAGGAGGGCCTATTACATGGTGTAATGGTAAAATCTCAGGTTCAAGTCTGACTATTTTTGAGCTGCCACTTTGTGCGAAAAAAATGCCAAAGGTAATGGCATTAGGTAATGGCCTCTTTTCAACATAAGACACGGTTAGGAGAATTTGTACTGAAATTTAAGTATGAATATGCATCTCCACATTGTGGTTGCAGTTGAAGAGATACTATCAGCCCAGAAAAAGTCGCCGTATTATTGCCGTGTCCCTGGAAGGAAATAAGGTTCCTCTGTATGGTGCGGGGGCAAGCTTGGCGGTCTCTGATAATAAGGGTGCAGTTCCATTGACGTTGGATTTTGAAATCAGAACACGAGGAGATGTGGTTGGAAAGCTGGTGAGGACGAAACACAGAAGGCATATATCTTGTCCTGTAGTCATTGATCCTAGTAGCACCAAACCTATCAAGTTCAAAGAGGGTTCATGTATATATGATTGAACTCAACCCTGTTCCAGGATCGAGTCCTTGCCATAGTCGGATGTTTCAGCCTTGAGATTAGCGTGCCGATTCTACGCAGTGACAGCACCCTGCTAGCCGAGGGGCAAGAAGTTCTATTCTGAGAAGTATCAGCAGCATCCTGGTTGCTGTCTGTGGTGATTATTATTTTTTGGTTTTTTGGTTGGGGTGATGAAGTTGTGAGAGGTTCATCTATATTGTCTTATTGAAAGGTTCGTTCTATATAATTTATTTGTTTTGTACTTGCTTCTCATAGTCAGTACACCGAAAAGGGTAATTTATTCTTCGTTCTTTGATATCTTATTTTCTGTTTCTGTAGTTAGATGATCTGATATCTTGTTTTCTGTAGTTAGATGATCTTTCCCCTGTTGTACCATTTTCTTCTTCCTATGTTGTTTGAATTATTTTCAGAGAAAGCAAAATATAATAATAACAATAATAGGATTTGGCAGACCGTTTGTTTTTTGAAAATAGCGATGGGTGGAATGTAAAGTTTTACATGATAAAATCGATATAACTTCACTCTATCCAAACACAAGCGAAACTGAACTGGAGTGTGGAGATTTACATCGATAATAATTACATCCTCTTTCTAAATGCCTACAAAACCGAACCGATGTAAATTTTACATCGGATTTTGATTTACATCACATCTAAATGCAAAGGGATTGTACAGACAGAACCATGCTCTCGTGAAAGTTCATCATAATCAAGCTATGCTATCTATTGGCCCTCGTAACGACATTCTTTCATTAGAGCGTAGGTGTCAATGAATTGAAGCATTTACCCCTCTTTAGATGAAGTATATGTTTGGTATTGATGCTGCAGTTGCAGCACCATTTTCTGATGTATGACTTGGAGCACCGTCTATTTGGAATCGTTGTTGTCAGGTAGGAAGTTTCTTGGAGCAACAACTTTTTCTCTGTGGTACCATTGTTCTAAGAAACGTTTCAGCACTGGTACTCATTATCCAATGCCACATTACTGTCCTATTGGCAGCAACGAGCTGTAGCTCCAGGAAATGTCAAATTTAGTGTTACTCTAAGCCATGGTTTCCCAATTTTCGAGACATGACTTGGAGTATCATTTTTTATGAAAAAACGGTTTCAAACAAATACTCATTTCTTAGAGTATTGTTTTTTCTAATGTGGTATTGATGTGGCACCGTTGCTCCAGGAAACGGCAACGATGCCAAACAGCCTCAAAGCAATCCGGTGCTTGAAGAATGAGGATGTATCTGTCTCTTTGGCCGTTCAAGTTTCAAGCAATTCTTTGGAGCTGGCCACAGGGCTGAAGTCAAGAGATGAGATAGGGCTTCGAATAAGTTGGATCTGATCTGATTAATTGGAATCTGGATTTGATTCATTAAGATTTAAGAACCAGATTCGGCTATCCTCCTTGATTCAAACAAATCAAATCGAAAAATTGTAAATTGGCTTATAAGCCTAAGCCTAACGCCCTAAACCAATCAAAATTGTCAAGTTTCAAATCAGCCATTAAGATAGAAGAAATCAAATTCAAATCGTAATTTGTAAGATCATCTGGAAAGTTCATATTAAATTCGTATCTCCTTAAGGTTTTGTCAAATTGGATTGGATCTTACTCCTAAGTCCTAACCGAATTCAATTGGATCCATTTGAAACCTTAAGATGATTGCTCAGAATGAGTGTCCATTAGAATGAGTGTTATAAGGTAAGAGTTCATATTTGCGCCCCACGAGTGTATCTCACCGTGCATTGGAAATATCTCATCTCCCTTTTTATTAGAATGTGCATTGGGGCGCCAATGTCAACTCATTGGGTAAGGGGTGCTGAATGCTACCAAAACTCAAGTATAAGTAGGGGTGTCAATAGTATTTGAAAATCTGATTTCGAATTTGAGATTCGATATAATCAAATCATATTTAGATAATTCGAATATCTAATCGATCGAATTCGGATATGATCTGATTCGATTCGATAAATATCCGAATTCGATCGATTATTTAATTCTTATATATAATATATAAAATATTTAAATGTCTTAGTTAATCTATATATAATAAATAAATTATATGAATAATTTATATATAATAATTAAATTATATGAATAATTTATATATTTATATATTTTTTATAAATAAAATATTTATTAATAACCTAAAATAATTAATGAATCAAATTCGAATTGAATCGAATATTCGAATATTTAATCAGATTTGAATTCGAATATTAATTTTTAAAATTCGTCTAATATCAAATCGAATTTGGATATCGAATTTTCTAATCAATTCAAATTTGGATATTGCTTGATCTGATTCAAATTCGACCTGTTTACACCCCTAAGTATAAGTGTAGCACCATTTGAGCTAGGGTGCTCACGGTTCAATTAACCGAACCGTGGGCCATTTTTCAAATACCAGTGGTATTGGTTTTTGGAAACCGATAACTGAAGCCAATCAATTTGGTTTGGTTCAATTAACTGAACCCACCCATCTCCTAGGTGGGTAAATAACTTTCCCACTTAGGAGAAAAGTTGTTAACACTTGAATGAGGCAAAAATGCCGCTTGTAATAATGGATTTTTATGACTAAAATGGTCATTGCCTTATTTACCCGAGAAATGAAAGAACATGGGTAAATGTACTTACTCGAGTAAGTGTTTCTCGGAAAAAACTTACTCAGATAATTGCATTTACCCGGGTAAGTAACTTACTGAAAAGCGAACGGAGTCTTCAAGAATTCTCATATTTTTTTGCTTTTAAGAGATCCATGCTTCATTTTTTAACACCAAGATCACATCAACCTTTTCCATCCATATACATATGGTATGTATGGTTAAATCTTGACTCAAGAAGGGCTACCTCCACTCTAGCTAGGGTTGAAACTTAAGTAGGATGGGTTGGATTGAGGGTCACTTTAGCCGCAACCCTAAAGATACAAACCTCATGTCCACTCTATGAATTTATCAACCCTGAAGGTACAAACAAGGTCAAACATGAATTAATAATTTTCATTTTAGTTTTAACTTAACCCAACACAATTGGGCCAGAAAAACTTTGGCCATAAAAAATAGCTTGGGCTGTTTTGGTAGGCTGATGTGGATGATATCTCATAATGAGTGTGGGCAAAAAATGTATTTAAATTCAATATTTTTTTAGTTGAAAAGATAAATGAGGACATGAATTAGCTAAGGTATCATGCGCAAAGGCTCCCAAAACAGCTCAGGCTGTTTTTCAAAACAGCCAAAGTGAATTCCAACTCAGCCTGGGGCTTAGGCTATTGGGCTTAATAGCCAAGTTTGGTGTAAACTCTCAAATGGTTTATACTTTATATAATTTATCCTGATGGGCTATCTAAGGCTATACTACAATTTTATGCAATGCATTTATGAACATGATATAAATGGGTCAAAAGTAGAAAATCACCTTTATGTGACTCTTTCTTATGATAGGGATGGCAACAATGATGGTTTTGTAAATTCTAGACCCTATTCATTTTGAGAATTCAAACTCTCTTTCCACATGAAAGTGTAAAACCCTTCTCGACCCTACCCTCCTCACATTTAAGGGTAGGGGCGAGTTGACATTAAAAATAGCATCTAATTTCCTAAAAATTCTTGTCATATATAAACAATAAATAAGTAAAATAACACAAATAGACATCAAAATTTGTAATTCTACATATAAAAAACACAAACTATCAATTTTTTTTCTCATAAAATTTAAAATATTATTAAGTTTAACACCTAATATATAAATTTTATATGCTTCCCAATAATATATAATATGAAGTGGAGAAGAGTTGAATTTAGGCTAAAACCGGATAGGGTAGAAATTGTCATCACTTATTAATCGTTGATTTGTCATTAGTCTAGAGTCCAAATCGGATACACATACACAATAGTACGCGCCGCGCGTATTATTTGGGTGGGCGTGCTGAACGTGGATGCCCGATTTATGAAACCCTAACCCTAACCCTAGAGCACCTTTATAAATACCAGCTGACGGAGGTTCTGATCAAATTGCATACAGAGTTTCAGCTCGCCTCTTTCGAGATTCTGGTTTCCTACTTCCGATCTGGTTTTTCTTTAGATGCAGTTTATGTTTTTGAGTCATGCATTGTTGATTTGAAGGTTGTATTTAGGTTTTCACAGGAGAAACGGGGCGATGACGATGTTATCAGTGAAAGGTCTCGTTCGTCGTAAGGGCTGATCCGCCTTGCCGACCAACCTGATATATCACCACCCATATTCCGAGTCCCTCCCGACAAAAGATTCAATTTCTTTTGAGGTTTTAAATTTGTTCCTTCTTTGTTATTGATTTTTATTTTCTTGCTTATTCGTTTTTTTTTTATCACAGTTTTCGTTAAAATTGGCCGATGATTAAAATCCATCAAAGACAAGCATATGTCTGAAATAATCGGTGTTGACAACTAATCTTCTCTATGAGGCCTCAGTTTTCTTCATTTATTGTTATTGAATCGATATTATTTCTAAGAGTCGATGATGAGAAGTGGTATTTCTGAAATTATTTAGTGATTACAAAACTCAGTACTACTACTGCCTTCCTTCTGAGGCTCTTTTCTTCTCATTATTTCATAACTTTTATTTTTTTTTTCGTTTTCTTTTGTTTCGTTTCAATGGAGAGTCGCGTGATGATGAGATAGTGCATAGTTCAGATGATAAACCCCTGATTATGTTATTAGCAAGTCTTTCGCTCCTATCTGATGACTCTCTCTCTCTCTCTTTCCACCCTTTCTGAGTCGTGTTTTTTAGATGGTTTTGTTTTTCCGCATGTCTCGAGGCTTTTGTGTTTTAAGTCTTTCTTAATCTATCTCTAACCTTTTTTTTTTCCTAAGCCTAGCTCTAAGGTGTAAATTAGAGCTTGGGGAACAGATTAATTCACTGAAAAAGGAATGCATCTAATTGTGTATACAGAACCCAAGTTTTAACCTCGAAAGTACATTTAGGAAAATAACACCATTGCTGCGCAATTGAATTGCACATAGATAAGATAGTATCAAAGAGATAACGAGGTATTGATTATTGAACAGCAAGAAGCATAAAGCGAATCTGTTAATTCAGCAATAACATCACCTAAGAGAGCTTGGATTTGAGTGCTCTACTCAACTAAAACCCAGCTATTTGAGATCGCTCAGAGCTTATCAAGGTTTAATTGCTTCCCTTTTTAACACTTCTCAAACCTTCAAATACTAAAATACCGAAGAGAACAGGGTGAATTGGGCGCATCACTTAAACCTGCAAATGCCTCGATTCATCGTTGTTCTTATTTGAGTCGGGACTTTTCTCCTATTTGCAGTTAAA